CAGTAGGCCGGGCTGGGCCACACTGGGGGTGAAGGCCTGGAATGCCATCCAGCTCTCCCATCTGAGTGAGGTGTCCTCTGATACCTCCCTGCGTCTACAGTGCTAGGAAACCGGATTCTAAGCAGACGGTGTAGAACTTTACAGGCACTCCAGTACAGGATGCAAGCATTCCATGTAGTGGATTCACTATTACACACAACACTCACTCATGTTTTTTTCAGTTAGCAATATAAGATTTACTAAAGATAGTAAAGATAGAATCCTTCTGCTGCAGGAGGAGGACTTTCAAGAGAGAAAGGCGCCAGCTTATATTTTTTAAAATTGCATACTTGGCTTTGTTTCAGGATAGTTTACTGATTTTCTCTCATTTTTATTCACTTTAAATATGTTATTTATTTAAGAGGTAGAGGATGAGAGGGATATAGATAAATGAAAGCTCAAGGACAGAGAGATTGATATACTGTTAGAAAACAGTCCTCCCAAATGCCTGCCTGCAGTAACCAGGGATGGGCCAGGCCAAAGCCAGACCAGAAGTCAAACTGAGCCTCACAGTGTGGGGAGCAAGAAGCCACGCACTTGGTCCAGGACCTGCTGTCTCCCAGGATGGGAATTAGCAGAAAGTTAGACTTGGGAGAGGAGTCAGGAACCAAACTCGGGCATCCTGTTATGGATCAAGACCTGAAGCAGCATCCTAACTCATACTCCAAACTTCCATTCCTCTCTTTCTATTCTGTAATGTGTGCTTGTGGAAACGTGCAGAGTTCTGATTAGCATTTTTAAAGTATTGTCTACATTTTTTCATCAGAAAACCTTAAGAAGTAAATATCGATATCCTATTTTATGTCAAAAACAGCTAAGAATAAACTGTCAATATGCATAATTAACCTTTGTCAGCTACCATTCCAACTCTCAATGACACCTAATAACGTAGTGGGATCACTGTAATAAAATACTGGTTTCTGAAAAGATGAACAGTGGCAACACTCATTACTGATCCATAGCATATTCTTTGGCACGTGAATGGAGACACCTTCTGAGTTGTATAGGGAAAACTCTGACCCCTACTCTGGGGCACGGCCTTCTTTCCTCATAAGTATAGGCCCTTGTTGGCAATTCTCTGTGGCCACGCCTGAAATAGAAATTCTCACTCTTTCTATGTGTCAGTGTATTCACAGCCTGTATCCCTCTAAGAACTTTCTGTTACTGTCTGGCATTTGGTGCTGTTTGTATCCTCCTGTTGATTGTAAGGACAGTTGCTTTGATATCACTGGAAATGAGTTTGGGTGGAAGACAGAAAAACACTTTAATAAGATTCTTGACACGGGTCTAGTTATGTTGGTCTGGCTGAGAATTGCTAATAGGAAGCAGAAGTGTCAATTACTGTTCGTTGGGCCACTGTTCACTTTTCCATTGCTGCAACTACCCATCTTGCTGAACTCCTGATATTATATCTGCAATTGAACAATGCCCTATTTAATAGAGTTCAATTCCCTTCTCTGTATGACAGCAACATAATCAATTCTTACTTTACATCATCTCTCTGCTGATATCTGACCAAAATCAGCAGGTGCTGTCAACACACATTAGCGTACTGATGCTTTTCAGTGGCCTTTCCTGAATCAGCTCTATTGACAGGTTGCTTCTCAGATCAAAGGCAAAGGTGCAGAGAAAATAGGAGTGTCCATCATGGATATATTCCTGAAATATGTATTTCCATAGTGTCAGATTTTATATGAGTTGGTCTTCTGCTGGTCACTAGAAAATTATTTGACAAAGATGGAAATTTATAACTTTGACATGTCTGAAAAACAGAAGTGCAAATATCTGATAAACCTGAAAATGTGTTTCATCTGCTGGCTCACTTTCACCGACCCTTGATACTCAGTGAAAATGCCTGATGACATTAATAGCCATGAAAATGATTCTTTTAGTCCCTTTGGTGTTTCTGAAATTGCTCTTCTTTGACTGTTGTTGCACAATATCCTATCCTAGAAACCACTTTCAGGCCGTGTGCTAAGTCACATCATTACCAGGAACTGTGAACACTCGTGATCCCCCATCCAATCCAGAACATCCAGTATGTTGGACCAGACTGTTTCCTACAAATTCCCGATCCTACCAAATTTTTACTGCTATTTATACTCACTCGCCATGCTCTCCCTCCTTAGTCTGCATACATTGTAGTCCCTGCCCTCAGTTTATTCATCATTAAGACTCTGTTAATTAGTGGGACTTGACAAAACCCAACGCGAGTTAATACTTGCTTCTCCCTTTTCTTAGCTTTAACTTCCACACATTTGAAGATGGCGAAAGAAAATAAACAAAAGACAACTTACAAGATCCTCCACAACAATCATTTTGCCTATCTCTTCCTGTTGAATATTTCAGTCTTACCCTGTATCTACCATTTAGAGATGGAAGAGAGTTCTGTAATGGAGAGTCCTGATTCTTATTTGATAAGGGATTTGATGACGTTAAGGCATTAATTGACTGAAGGCAATGATTTTATTCTGTTGGATCCAAAGCACCCTTCAGCCTTGAATAAGAATATGCTGTATCCGTTAAGTAGCTCTAAATAAAATGAAGCATAAATACCACTATGCAACTAATCTATAAGAGAATAATGGAGAAACAAGGAAGCCAGTAATAAATATTTTTCCACACGCAGATGCTCAGGTATTAATACTCAAGAAAACAAAATGAGAAACAGAAGATGCTTGCACTAATTGTCATATGCTGCTACAGATGTGACTGGTGCCAGCAATCAGTAGTAATCAAATATCTTAAATGTGTTCCAGTGAGTCATAAAATTCGATGCATGTGAAAAGCATACATTCCCTTAATTTTCATTCAGATAACTCAGCATACTGCCCTAAACATATGGACCATTTCTATGTAAATTTTTTCACAACTACTAGTACATATTAATTTAACTTAAGGAGATTGCAAGGTTTTATCTAACTATAAAAATAGGCATATGTAAATACAGAATGATTATCTGAAATATATTCATTTCTTCTAGTTCCTGCTGATTAATAGAGTAATAGATTCTTGAAAAGAATTACCAGTATGACATAATTCTCCCACAGTCACCCCCTGCAAACTCAGGTGCACATCTTCATTGAGGAAAAGAGAAGTCTGGGGGCTCGTATGTTCTCACTGATAAAAGAAGATATATAAAGATATCACACATTCATGTTATTATTTCATATTTTCCTACTGGAAGGGAAAGTTAGTAATTGCATGTGGCATTGCATGTGTGGGATAATCAGATTTTCTAAAATTTGTATTACACTTTGGATTTTTAAGTCTGTCCTATATTAATTGTGTAAAATATATGTATATATTATAGTCTCAGGTAATAAGTTCAAAATTATTGGTTTGAAAGTTGTGGGTCTTATATGAATTGCTATCATCTGATCCTAAAATACTCACATTCTGTGTTTAGCCATTTTGTTCTTTTGTTTTTGTTGATCGGGTATACACAGTCATAAATTGAATTGAGAAACTTTGAAACAGTGGTTAAATACCCTGTTATTTTACAAATATTCTATCCACTTTTTTCACATTGAAAATTTTATCTACAATGTGCTTACCTTTTCTGGGAATCCTTAAATATCATGGTGATGAATTCTAGAAGCTTCTTCAAAGATTATTGCAGTATGCTGCCAGAAAGGGAGGGGGAGAGACGTAGTCTCCATCACATAGTCTTAATCTCTTTGAGAGTGAATCCTGAGACCTAACCATAATATACAGATTCTCTTGTAAAATATGAGTGAGGCAATTTAAAAAAAAATTAAAAATAGAAAAGGCAAAAGAAAACAATGTTAGGAGATGTTTCATGTGCTTAAATAATATTATGAAAACAGAATCAAAGACAACATTTACACTTCAGATTACTTGTTAAACAATGTTCCAAGTCACCTTTTCTTAGGTTTGCGTTTAGTTTTTAGAGTTGGTTTGTCAGAAATTGAGCCATATATTTCTTAATGTAGTCAACACTGCTGTTTTTGACAATAAATGTTTCTGATTGTTTTAGAATGTTAAGCACGCTTTGACTTTCTGATACCAGCTATATGTAACTGCACTCTGGGAAGGGAACTATTGTCCTCTGACAGTAAAACAAAACAAAACTTTTAAAGAAGTGATTTCTGTGATAACTGACTGGCATCTGCCACTCCTGTCCTGGAGGAGAGTGGCAGCGTGAGGCCGCAGGGCACAGTTTGCTGGGCTCTGGTCTGTACCTGCCGAAGGTCCACTATTACATTTATATCTGTTAGTGTAGGTTACCACAGCTGAAACTCTACAGTCTTGAACTTGAGATTAATTTCAACTTATTGTAACATCATTTTTATTGGTTGATGTTATCATCACTTTTCATAATGTAAAATATTTCTATGCCAGATAAATATAACCTACCACAGCTTTTTAAAAAAAATCTGAGACTAATGAATATTTGTGGATTTGACCAATACTGTGGTTCATCTACACTGTTTTATGAAAGTCCTTCAGAAGACCTATGAGATGAATGAAGCTGAGATTGTTAAGTTCATTTTGGTACAGAAAGTCTTGAAATGCATGCATGATCTTTTCTTATTATTTTCCACAACAATTTTAGAATAGCCTCATTTTGCACACTATAGAAGGATCAGAATTAATAGAGGTTTTACAGAGCGTTCTCAGATTTAACTGCAACTCCCTTTTTTTGATGAGGCCTGGGAAAATTAAGTATTTTACTAAAAGTTGCTGATTTGTTAAAGAAAGTTAAGGTTGCGATTCTATCTCCACTCCAGTCACTTAACCCAGACTCCAGGACTCTCTCCCTGTCTCTTAGGAAACATCTTTCCTGGGGATAAAAATAATTTCACATGCAAAACATCTGTAAAACTAATATTTTTATGTTGAGATTTTCACAATTTTATTCCTTGTTTTCTCTTAATAATTTAAATATGAATATTCCAAGGTAAATTATTCTAATTTACCTATTTTATTTTAAACAGATCATGTTGTTTGTGAAGAAGAGTTTAAATACGCCATGTTAGCTTTAAACTGTATATGCCCAGCAACTTCTACACTCATTACACTACTGGTTCATACCTCTAGAGGGCAGTAAGTATATTTTTCTTTAAGATAATGTATTTGAAATTATATTAAAACAAGTACAGTTGTGCAATTTAGCAATGTAGTAAGCCAAGGTAAATAGCGAGAACTGTATTTGTGCAGGCTGTCTTCATCTGAAAGATACACGTGTGTAATGAACTCCAATGATTTGATGTATTTTTTTTACAACCTTAACATGATTTACTATATTGTGAATTCTAAGTGTCCATACCATTTTTGGTCTAATGTTGGGACACGGTTTATATTTTCTAGATTAATATTTCCGCAGGTAAAACTTTAAAAAACAATTCTGGCAGTTACTAGTGTAAGATTTCAAAACCATCCTCCACCCCCAATTTTGTGCGAGCTTTCCATCTTAGCACTTTCGGTATAAAATTGAATTCAAAATTACCATTTTACAATTATAGAATGATGGAAAAAGTTATTTCTGTGAAATCAATCAATGCTGAATGAATTGATTTTATTTGTATTTCAGTGTAGATGGGATAAATATAGAGCATCTGAGTGTGTTTTACTCTTGTTGATGTTGATAGAGCATAATGGAATATATGTTATATTTCTGATTCTGACAGAAATGTATGCAATACACACTGTCATGGTCTTCCTTGAGAGATAAAGAAACGGTGTTTCATGCCCGTTCATGTTCCTAACTTGGTATTTCAGACAAAATGACAATTTTACAAGTAGGTTCCATTGGTTCCTGTGGTTGTGGTTATTTACATTTTATAAGTTAATTGCTAAAGATTTAAGTGTAGCAACAAGTCAAATGAGCTCAGAAGAAGGAAATTCTCTCTTGGAATACAATACTAGATCAAGTTGCAAATTTAATACCTTGCATGCCCTGTGATCTTTTGCATAGATTTTACAATCTTATTTCTAATTGAATTTCTGTTCAGTTGGGATAGCAAGAATCTCTAGGGAACACTTTTTTTCAAAAGTCTAGAAGGAAGTATTCCTACTCTGTGTGCGGCAATCCTTAAATCTGCAGAGTGGGAAGCCTGTGATAGGGTCCTAAACGAGACTGCTGCCATTTCTGTTTTGTTGCAATTAGAGAAATGATACGCAGCGTTTTATACCAATTAATTGAAAAGTCAGAGAACACATAATGTGTGCATCGTTTTTCTGTACCATCTTTGTTATAGAATCACAGAACTGCAATACAGTACATTTAGTGCAGCTTCATTGTGGTTGAATAAGGTTCACTAGCATTATTTAACGCATCTTACTGATCACGGATCGATAGTAAACTGCATTGTGAAACACGGAATAAACATTACTTACTGATACATTAGCACACATTATTGCATGGGTAAAGCATGAACTTGATTGAAGTTAAAAAAAAAACTCCAGTGATTCTTACAAGATTTCCCCCAATATGTACCATTGACTGTTGCCTTATTGGAGAAAGAAAATGGTGTTGTTGACATTTTTATCACACAATCAAGGATTTCCTTTAATTAAGATTGATCCATGAAAAAATTTTCCAACATGTCTTAGTAAATTTTATAGTCCCACAACTTTGTTAGTCCCTTAGCAGCTTTCTTTGTAGCAGCCTTATTCAGATTGACATGGTATAAATTTACCTCTTTAAAATGTACACTTTAAGGCTTCTTGGTATATTCATATTTTTTTTCTACTGCTTCTACTATTTAATTCCAGAATCTCCTAAAGAAACATTCTGCTGTTAACCATTTTCCCTGCATTTCCTTCTAGTTTTTTTTTTTTTCAGCTTTTGGCAAAGGCTTATTTCTATAGATATGCTTCTTGGAAACTTTAATATACATGGAATAATATTGAATGCTTTGTATGTGTGTTTGTTTTGATGTCTTCTTTCACTTTATCTCATGTTTTCAGCTTCATCTATGTAGCAGTTCCTTTTTAATACAGAGTGTTATATGCATGGATCACATTTTACTTTTCAAATCATTACTTGGTGGGTAGTTGAATAGGTGTTAACATTGTGAATAACGTGTTTGGAGACATTCATGTGGACAGATATTTTAATTCTTCTTGGGTTTATCTCTAGGAGTGGAATCAATGGATCCTGCTGTTACCCTGTTGAGCTTTTTAAAGAACTGATTGAACATTTCCCAAACAGGATATAACATTCTGATTCTTACCAGCAGTTGATCAGAATTATAATCTCGTTAGATCTTTACACCTTTCTTTTACCCTTAACAATCCTATTGGGAGTGAATTAGTATTTCATTGTGGTTTTGATTTGCATTCACTGATGGGTCATTAAGCATTATTCTATTGGTCAAATATATATCTTCCTGAAGAAAAGCCTATTCAGATCCTTCGCCTGTTTTTATTTTTTGTCTTTGATCATTAATTTATAAGAGTCTTTCTTTTTTAAAAATTTATTTTTATCGGAAAGGCAGATTTACAGAAAGAAGGAAAGACAGAAAGATCTTACAACCTGCAATCTTTGGAGCTAAGCCAATCCAAAGCCAGGAGCCAGGAGCCAGGAGCCTCTTCCTGGTCTCCCACATGGATGCGTGGTCCCAGGACTTTTGGCCAACCTGTGTTGCTTTCCCAGGTCATCAGCAGGGAGCTGGATGGGAAGCGGAGCAGCAGGAGCATAAACAGACACCTATATGGGATGGATACTGGTGCTTTGACACTTAGGATTTAGCCATTGTGCAGGACCCTATAAGATTCATTACATATTTTATATGAAAGTGATTTCTTAAATGTAATCCATAACTGCAAATGATCATCTGCACAAAAGATCATTTGATATTTCTAGTATTTTTAGTAAGATTTTGCCAATATAACCAAGTTCTTTTGTGCATTAGCTGAATCAATTGCCTGATTAGCAAAAATGTTTGCAGTTTTTCCTTTGCACAACAAAATACAGAGCTGACATTTATTAATTTAAGAATAAGAGAATAAATCTGGATGCAGAGTGAAGTCAGACAACAGAAAAATGCTGGATAGTTTAGGAATTGCCTCATACATGCATTATTAAACCACTAATGGAAACAGAGCAAAGCAGTAGCATCCAAAATGCTTCATTTTAAAATGAAATGAGAATAATATTAACACTTAAAAATAAATGATTATTTTGATAAGAATCAATACTCAGAAGACATTATGTACAACTTGATGCAGTAAAGCTAGGGAAGACAGTATTTTAGAATAAAGTAGTAGCTTTGTCTTTGTAAATATTTTTCTTTGCTTTTTCCCCCCCAGTTTTGAAGATGAAGGACAAGAAAGAGAAACAGAGAACCTCTCCTCACTGGTTCACTCCTCCCGTTCCCACAGTAGTTATGCTCGGCCAGGCCAAAGCCAGGTCAGTTAGGTGACAGGAACCTAGCTACCTCCTGGAGTGTGGATACCTAGGAAGATGGATCAGAAGTGAAGGAGCTTGGTCAGGAACTGACACCCAAGTGGTATGTTAGTGTCCCAAACAGTGACTTAACCGTTCTACCAGTTGCCCATCATCAAACTAAGACTTTCAGGGCAGTGTAAATTACTTTTTAAGTGAAATGTACTCTGGATGTTATAATCTTTATATATATATATATATTTTTTAATTGAGTGTTGATTACAGATACTTAAAGAAAATCTAAAAATCAGTTTTGAGACAAAGGAAAGCAAAAGGTCATCTGTTTCAGTGGCAGAGCCTGGCAGAGGTCCCAATAATGGAAGAATTTCCAATTTTGCCACAGAATTGGAAAATTTTACTCACTTGGCTATCCTTGTCCTTTTCTTAGTTTTTGTCTCCTAGCATGCAGAAATGGGGGTACAAATGGAAGAACCCTAATGAGCATGAATTAACCACCAGTGAACTTTTATGTAGAAGCAATTGCACACACACACACTAGGAGAGAGAGAGAGAGAGAGAGAGAGAGAGAGAAATATTACAGATTCAGAATTTGCAGAAATTGATCATTGATTGCCTCTAAGTACATACAAGTGAAAAAGGAAGAAAACATTCTGATCCTTTGAGTCTGGATTGACATTAGAAAAGAATAAAATATGGAATTTGTCCTAAGATAGGTGTGTGTGGTTGGTTCTATTAGTATCCCAATGCAGATGTAACTACTTCTGAGAGGAGCCTTCTGCCCCCTGGGCTCCTGGCGGGCTCACGGTGCTCAGTCCCGTGTTGGTGAAGAAGTAGTGAGTTGGGAGAACCTACAGCCTAAAGACCTTTCCTTAGGGTTTTGTTCTTTTGGACATAGAGGTCAAGGAAAACAAACTTGGTGCAAATAAATAAAAAGACATTTTAAGAGAACTGGGTAGTTCTACATAGACAGTTTTAGATTGATGGAGACAGAGCACACCAATTAAGATGCCAGTGGCATCTGGGAACATCTGAGAAAACAGTCTGGACAATGAAGACTCTGTTGTTTTTGGGGAAAGGGAGAACAATTAGGGTAATGAGACAGTGAAGCCTGATTGGGGATTACCACCTCAGTAGTTTTGTTTATAAATCTAAGAAAGAAAAATACTGCAAGCTCTATTTCACAGAACTGTGGAAGACAGTTTGTGTGTATAAACAGTTCTGTACCTATGTTTCTTTACTTGTAAGTTTGACTTATATTGTAAGTAGCGTGAACGAGAAGCAGAATGAAAATGCAATGAGCTTGAGACATAGGTTCTAGAGATTTAACTATCTGTAACCTGTTAAAAGAAAATAGTTTATTCTGTCTAAAGCAATGCATCATGAAAGAAATGGGTGGTTTACAATAATTTTATTCAAATGCGATCTGAAAGATAGCATCAATTTTAATTGTATGGTTTCATATATAGCATAATGTCTGACCAAAACGTGGGGTGGTATCTATTTCAGAGTCTAGGATTCAGCATGTTATCTGACTCAATAATGCTATCAGATAACCCCTCCCCTCTTTCCTTCCTTCCTTCCTCTCTTTCTTCCCCTTCTTCCCTCCTCCTTTCCTTTTTTCTTTCCTTTCTTCCTTCGTTCCTGTTGTCAGTATTGATGTTTTAAATCTGTATGTGCACAAAACTTGTATATG